AAATGCGCTAGTTTATTATTCATTTTCTGTTCCCACATTTTAGGAGCAAAATGCATCTGTAATAATATAAAAGAAATCGAAAATTCAGAAAAATATTATATTATATATGTATTGGATCATTTAAAAAGTATCCGCGGTTTTTGTCACTAGATATGTTGACCATCAACATCATCTAGTGACAAAAAACCGCGGATACTTTTTAGATGACCCAATATAATTGAAAAGATTAGGATAAAAAGAGAAAGAATTAAATTCGTAACCAATGTGACTATACATACGAGGTGTGGCTATTAAATAACGAGACTGACACTGCTACAGAAGAAGTACGCATGCGCCAAACGCCAGCGACCGACAGTTGTTTAGCGTGAAGCCTTCTCTTTCGAAATGCAGTACCTCTCGTTTCTGTAAACAAATACGTGTAGCCGTAGCCTTTTTTCGTATTAGAGTTGTTTTTTTGTTCCGCCGGAAAAATGATAAGTGTAACAATAGAGCAACGAATTGTTGTGAAATTTCACGTGAAACTTGGAAAAACCGCTACTGAAACTTATAATTTATTGAAAGAAGTGTATAACCATGAATGTTTATCGCGTGCATGTGTTTTTGAGTGGTTTAAGCGTTTCCAAGACGGCCGAGAAGACGTTGAAGATAATTCACGCCCGGATCGCCCTTCCACGTCAAAAACGGATGACAATATCGAAACAATCGATAATCTGGTTCGATCCGATCGTCGGTTAAGTATTCGGGCGATTGGTGAAACTGTAGGAATTGACAAAGAATGTGTACGGCAAATTTTACATACAATTTTATAACAATTTTAACATGAAAAAAATGTGTGCCAAAATGGTACCTAAAATTCTCACGTTTGAACAACAAGAAGCTCGCAAAAATCTTTGTACTGACACTGAATGCCATTGAAAATGACCCAAACTTATTGGAAAGGATAATAACATTAAATTAAAATAACATAAAATTAAAAGGAACAAGATTTAAGTCCGTTGAAGCTATGAAAGAGAAAGCGGCACGCGTCCTGAAGAAGCTGACAGAAGAAGACTTTCAGCACTGTTTCAAACAATGGAAGATTCGCATGGAGCATTGTAGGGATAGAGGAGGGGTGTATATTGAAGGTGATAATAAGTAAATATGTATGAAATCAAAATAAAATGTTTTACAGCGTCAGTCTCGTTATTTAATAGCCACACCTCGTATAGTTAGTGCCAAGATACTACCGTGCCTTCAGATATTATAATTAATCTGTGTATATTTTATGTTAATTTTTATTTTAATATTTTGAATACATTATTTATAAAAAATAAATTATTTTACCTCACATACAGATGAATTTTTTGTCCAATTTTTATATTGGGTCATCTAAAAAGTATCCGCGGTTTTTTAGATGATCCAATATTTGCTATTTATACTCTTTAATCAATTCATTCGGCGTTCTGTGTCGGAATTATTTCGGAATTATTTTCATAACATATCCTTTTTTTAATGAATTGTTACAAAACGGTATTGTACATCCAACCATATTTCTAAAATAATTTCGATAACTTTATTTTTATCAATGTACCTTTACGTATCTATGTCGTTCAATGCTGTTGCGCCTAATCCTAAAACTGACAGTTTGTTGGATAGACTGAGACCGTATATCTCTTTCTCTCTCGCAGAATTTCACTAAAACATGATGTCATCTCTCGTATAGCGCCACTCTGATTATAGGCTCTCTATTCGGGACAGTCAGGACAACTTATGATGGCATGTCGAGTGATAGTTAATGCAGAACATGCACTACAGGATTCGAAATGTTTAGGGAGCCTCAAATAAATATTGGGTCATCTAAAAAGTATCCGCGATTTTTTTGTCACTAGATGTGTGTTGATGGTCATATATCTAGTGACAAAGTACCGTGGATATTTTTTAGATGACCCAATATAATGCTGTAAGATTCCTTGGTAATTTCTCTTTTCATTTTCCGGCGCAGTATAACATTCAGGACATTTGATGGTATCGATTTCCCTATGTTGGAAAAATAACAAGGATACGCAACACATAAGGAAACGCACTACGTAACCACGTAGAGTACAGATTAATCGTTAAGATTCAAGCATCGATGGGTGCGCGCGGACGCGGTTATGTGGGACACATGCTAAAGACAATTCCTTAGCGGCAGATTCCAATTGCCAGAATGTGGAAAGAAATTTCTTACCTTGAGGTACCCGGACAAATGTCCTCTAGTGTTTCCGAATCCACCAGTGAAAAAAGTGATCAGGGTACTAAGCATCTACTACTTCTTAGGCGAATTTAGCTGCAGATTCTGGTCGCACCAATAAGCGCGATCGCTTTCGTTAATATTCGATAGCGGTTATATTATTATTAATGTTAGGATGGATTAAGATATTATTAGTGTTAGGATGAATAAAGCTGAGAGAATAGAAATATCCATAAAATGCACACTTGAATGAGATTAATTGAATGTATATTTAACAATTTGTACTAGTTAATGCCTTAAACTAATTTTACATGAGATTTAATTCTAAATCAATTAAAAGTTACAATTTATGAGTTAGGATTTATGATTTAGAAATTGAATTAATGCTTTGAATTTAAAATTAGGATCGGAATTCTTAGATTTAAAAATTGAAATGCGAGAAAATTGCGTTCAGACTTATGGCTTCTGCACGCTGGACACGGAAACGCTTGCTGCGCGGCAAAATGTGATGCGATAGCAATAAGCTTACAGTTCCTAATGTATTCATTGGTTACCGCGTCTCATTTTGCCGCATTAGTATTAGCCATTAGTATTACGTTTGCACGCGGCGTTTAAAATCTAGAGCGGCGATTGGTCAAACAACGGAAGGAACCGGTATTTCGCGTGTGGCCGCTCTGGACGCACACTATTACGCCTCTTTTCTATGTTTGCCCGTGAGCATTTCTAAACATCTCCTTCCATTGACCGCCCCGTCAACGGTGTCAGGATGTAATTACATGAAGCGCGTGTGTGCATAAAAATAAATTAATATTGGGTCATCTAAAAAATATCCGCGGTTTTTTGTCACTAGATGGTGTTGATGGTCAACACATCTAGTGACAAAAAACCGCGGATACTTTTTAGATGACCCAATATTTAAAAAAATTCATGCTAATGTGAGTTTGTCACTAGCCTATATCGTATACCGCACTCCATATAATTGCACCTTCAAATGCGTCTCTAGAGACTTGATGCCCGTATAATATTGGGTCATCTAAAAAGTATCCGCGGTTTTTTGTCACTAGATGGTGTTGATGGTCAACACATCTAGTGATAAAAAACCGCGGATACTTTTTAGATGACCTAATACAATACAATACAATATTGTATTTATATTACTCAGGCCTCTTAGCGAGTCTGTTCAAAAATAATTATTAAACAAGAGAAAAGTTGTGGACGTGACACAGAATAATGACTGCAGAGTTGTGATTGGTCGCGCTGTTCCGTTCCGCTGTAAATTTCCGCTCATGGGACGGCACCTTTTAGGATATATCCACACAACTTGCATAGCCGCATAAACGTATGCATAAAGAAAATTATCCAATCACATTTTACGTACAACTTTGAAAGAGAAATGCGATTGGATAATTTTCTTTATGCATTTGTTTATGCAGCTATGCAAGTTGTATATATCATTAGCCACTAGCGTAAACGAATACACCTTATGTATTGTACATATCCTCTTTGCTTTACACATGGAAGCATTAATCAACAAAGAAGAATAGCGGATTACACAAAAAAATCAATGAGATGCGAATATGGCAGCAAAATATAAAGGGAAGAAACATTAGGGTATTAAAGACAAGCAGCGCTTTACAACATTTAGCGAAGTTATCAATAAAGTTAATGCTTGTGCACAATAAAATATTAGATTTAGATGATTATTTTAAATCAGAAACGGATTTTAGATTAGAATTGTGTACAAATATCAAGAAATGTAAACGAGCAAGCAATGCCAAAGAGTTTGGAGTGTATAATTAAATTAAAAGAAGCTGTGAAGATCAATGCTGACATCTTGAAAAGGAAGAAGAAAAAGAATGCTCTTATCTGTATATGACTACATCACAGATCAAATCAAAGAACAAAACTAGATAAAGTTATATCAATACTTCAACACCAACCAGACAAATCTAATAAACAATTTATGCACAGGGTATCTAGAGACATATAATTTTTTGAAGGAAATAGCATTTGAAAAAAAATATTCATATTAAAGGAGATTCAAATACTAGTAAAATTCGAAATCTAGCAAAATGTAAACATAAAAAAGATATTAAAATATTAAAAATTAAGCATAATAATATTAATAGAAAAGAGATTGAAAAGACTTGAAAGTTTTGCAACTTCATCAAAAGATGAAAAGCAAAGACTGAAAGTATGTACAAAGAAAGGAAAGAAATTTGAAAGCTTTGATGAATTTGAGAGGTTGCAAGATAAGATTGTTTTTGACGAAGTAATCGTTTGATATGAACCTTCTAGGTTGGAAATTAAGTCAAATAAAATTAATGAAATTAGAAAGCCAAAAAAGTTATTATTGAATTCGTTATTAAAAAATTCTAAAGAAGGCTTTTTTTCCAAAGTAATTTGAAAAGAAAAACTTACCTGAAACGGAAAGAAAAAAAAACTAGAGAACAAAGTGAAACTATTGCAGCCTACAAACAATTGAAGTCTGAGCGATTAGAAACTATTAGGGTATGTTCAAAATTACAAAAGCAATAAATTATATTTGAATAAAGTACATATATTTGATTTTTTCTTTTAATTTATTTTATTGATCTATCCTTATTTTTTTATGTTATGATTATGTTGAATGTACGAAGGAGTTAAAACTCATAATAAAATTAATTTAAAACTTAAATTAGATATTTCAAAGCTTGCATCTTATTCACAATTTCTTTGTAGTAGGGTATAAATATTTTATAGAGAATTCAGGTTTTTGTTTAAAAAAGTAATAAAATTTTTTTTATCTGGATTTCTTTCTTATATTGGATATATTTAACCTGTAGTCCAGACAAAGGGCTCAAGCCTCTCTTCAATTGGTAATAGATTGTTGAGCGTTTCGAGACTTTCAAGGGTTTGATTGAGAAGCGAGTGACATCTAGTTAGCTGACGGCTAAGCTCGTGCACTTTATTTATCTGTTCTGTAAATTTAACGAATTTCTTTTGTCGATCCACAGCGAGATTTAATACCTTGCCAAATTCTGTTTCCATACTAGTACATAGAGTAACTTGTTCTGCTGCTATAATCTGCGCATTTGTATTTAGATGATGTTGGTAACGTGCACATAGATTGAACAGACCAACAGGATCAAGCCTCTCAAGGACCTCTGGATCGCGTACACCAGGTGGTAGATTCAATGTGCCACGCATAATTGGTAGAAACATTGGAATACTTTGTAGTTTTACTATATCAGGATCTTTGTCTGCTGTAGGATCTATTTGAGCTGACTTTACCACTACGATACTGTGTGTCTTGTCCAATATATTAATCTTCTTGTGACTTTCAACATGGAAAGAGAGCAAACTAATAAAATTCTATATGACAGTTATTATATATAAAGTATTTATATGACAGTTATTATATATATAATTTATTATATATATAATTTATTATATATATAATTTATTATATATAAGATATTTTGAAATTTTTGATTGTATTAAAACACATTTTTATATAATATATGTTGTCTAATAATGAAAGTACTATATTACATTAAAAAATACTCTGATATATAATAACGCTTATTTTTTTGTATAAATATATAAGAAAAATAAAATAATAAAACTGGCTTGTTATTTGATATAATTTGAAGGATACTCTTTTTATATACAGGGTGTTTATGATCATCTGCAATAGAACACACAAGATTAAGCATTTTATCCTGTATCTAAAGAGTCTAATAATTTGTTAATCTGTAGCATACTTAATTAATAAACCATTTTTTAAATTAATTTATAACAAATTTGTAACACTATTTATAATATTATTTATAACAATTTTTTAAAATGCTTTCCATTTTGTTGTATGCATAACATAGTTTAATCAATTGTGTCATTTGTATTTCGCTATAACATAACTTCATTTACAGTTACAAAGTTGTGAAATGTAATTGAGTCACATTTCATCTTCGGTTTTTACTGGATTCTTATAAATTGTGAGAGATGCTACAGCTATTGATTCAACCACGTTATGCATACAAAATGGAGAGCATTTTGAAAAATTATAAATAATGTTACAAACTTGTTACAAACTTATTAAATCAATTTAAAAAATGGTTTATTAATTAAGTATGCTGCAGATTAACAAATTATTAAACTCGATAGATTCAGAATAAAACACTTAATCTTGTAGTGTGTTTGGATTGCGAGTGATCAGAAACATTCTGTAAATATATATTTTTTGTTTTATTAGAAATATCTCAAAACATTAAAAACATTATATATTCATATATAAATCCAGTAATACCTACTTATGATTTGTTATGCCTAGACTATTCTTCCGTCTTGAGATTTCCCCAGTTCCAATATTCTTTCCTCTATAGATTTGTGATTGTTTATTTGTCATCTTTGGTGAATCTCCAATAGGTCGATTCACTGTATAAGAAATATATGGAAGATCAGAATCAGAGCAAATGCTAGCGCCAGGACTGGTACATCTCGGTGGAGTATCTTCTGGTATTCTTTCACGATTTGGAACGCTTTTACCACGTCTGAGTTGACTTGTTCTTATTTTTTCATTATTAGCATTTTGGTTACTATTTTGAGAACTTTGTTCGGATCCCATTTTCTTAGAGCTTACTTGAAGAACATGAAACTTCAAAAAAATAGAAGTGTCCGTAAAGAAGTATGAACTTCAATTAAATCACTGTAATTTAATATATTTTACAATATTTAACAGTTTTTATCATCTTTATAAATTAGAAACTATTCTATTTTTGCCAAGCTCCGTAAGAATTCGAAAAATCAGTATAAAGCACACTTGCAAAATATCACAGAATATTTAGTAAATTTTACAGTATGATATATCTTCAAGATATTCTTACAGATTTTGCGAAAGTATTGATAGCATTGTTTATATCTCATAATCAAAGAGGTTATATAAACAATAAAAATTTATATTTTTTTATTTTACCCTGATTTGCTGCTATTTAAAATTATTACTCATTTTATATTTTATTGTATATTTTATGTATGTATTGTTTATTTATCTTTATTATTACTTTATTTCTTGTTTCATGATTAACATAGCAACAGAAACGTAATATTTAGTGAGCTCTATACATACTGGCAAAGTTGCCAACTTTTTGAGAAATTTTTCTACACGAGCACATGAAAACCTATTAAAACCTACTAGTACCAATCACATTAGCTTACCAAAAAAAAGGGGGGGAAATTACATCGTATTACATAGCTGTGTTCCAAAATTCACTGTCAGCGCTGAAAATTTACAATTTACATTACGTATACTGTACATTTTTCAGAACTGGCAATAAATTTTTGGTGGTATAAAAAGGACCCTAAGGGCCCGAAAATAATTGAAGAACGCTAACTTTAACAATTGATATAAATTTGCAATTATTAACATAAATATTGGGTCATCTAAAAAGTATCCGCGTACTTTGTCACTAGATATATGACCATCAACACACATCTAGTATTTAGCTCATACATCATAGTTTTAAAGAAAAATCGAGTATTATTGAATTATAAATGCATAAATACGTCTGCATAAATACTAAGTCAATAAATCATAAAATTAGTACAATATTATCAGTTTTTAACTCTTATGCCTGTATTCATAGTCAGACCTTATACTTAAGGCTTCCTTAAATTTATCTTTAGATGCAACCAATGAAATAATTCGTACAATAATCTGAAGATAAATTTAAGGAAGTCTTAAATATAAGACCTGACTATGAATACGGACATTAATCACCTCACACACAATATTTACAAGAACGCGAACTCTCGTAAAAATGATCTTTAATATCTTGTCGGTAAATTTAATGAGCCCCATGTAACCGTCGGTTAACCGAGGTTGGTGAAATGCTATAGTATATGTAACGCATACTATAGTATTTCCCTAGTTTTTCATATGATATTTTTTAAATAGAGGCCCAGCGCGATATTCGTCGCGTGCGACACGCGATATTCAATGAGCGTATAGTTTTAGAATGAGAACATCGATAAAGCTGTACGCTCATTGAATATTGCATGTTACGCGCGACAAACATGCCACGCAAGACTTTTATTCTTGAAAAGTATCGCATACAAAAAACTAAGGAAATAGTATGCGTTATATATATGCGCGATGTTAGTCGAGCGCGACATGCGATATCCAATGATAGTATACTTTTAGAATGAGAATATCGGTAAAGCTGTATACTCATTGGAGTCATATGTCGTGCGCGATGAACATCGCGTTGGTGTGCCGGAGGCATTAGAACATACTCTAGATCAATTAAGAGTGAAATCACACAGTGCGGAATAGGACTGTGGAATAGAGAATGCGTCATTGAAATAACTACTCAGCGCTATTCCACATTTGATGTTGCGGAATAGTGCGTCATTGTTCTTGTAATAAACCGTCGTATTTTGAGAGGTTAAAATAATTTATGCTGATTGATATGATGGAATTGCGTAATATCGAGACGAATGAAGCAAAATGACAAAATCTGAGTGCATAAATATAGATACCAAGATAAAAACAATGATGCATTACGTACGATTTCAGTGTGCCCTTCTCTGCACTTTCCATCACGCCAGTTTTGTGTGCTATGTTTATATAAAAGATGATAGTAAATGCATTGAAGCAGTTTAAAAAATTGTCATGAAATTATAAATATTAATTGTAAAACATTAAATACTACAACAGTGATAATGTTTTTAAAATTTGAAAAATTATATTTTATTTTAATAAGCAAATTACTAACATAAAGTTAATAGTTTTTAAATTATATTCACGCTGGATACATCATGTGAAGATAGCACACAAAACTTGCATGATGGAAAAGTACGGAATAGCGCTGATTGGTTACTTTAATGATGCATTCTGTATTCCGCAGTCCTATTCCGGATCATGTGATTTCATCCTAAGGAAACACATGGTGATTTCAATAATGCATCAAAAATGTATCCAGCATGAATATAATTTAAAAATTACTAACTTTATGTTAATAATTTATTTATTAAAATAAAATATAATTTTTCAAATTGTAAAAATAATTATCATTGTTGTATTATTTAATGTTTTACAATTAATATTTATAATCTCATAACAATTTTTGAAAACTGCTTTAAAGCATTTACTATAATTTTTCCGCATCGTGTGAACATAGCAAACAAAACATGTGTGATGGAAAAGTGCGGAAAAGGGCACATTGAAATCGCATGTAATGCATCATTGTTTTTTTTATCTTGGTGTCTATATTTATGCACTCAAATTTTGTCATTTTGCTTCATTCGTCTCGACATTATGCAATTCCATCATATCAATCAGTATCAAATTATTTTAATCTCTCAAAATACGACGGTTTATTTAACAGTGCTCGGAATTGCCCATTTCGAGCAGATTCCTGAGGCGATCCTCCATTACCACTCGAGACTCGGCGGCCGAGCCCACGTGACGCTGCGCCCCAGGAGTATCGCGATACAAAAAGTATGCTAGGAGCATATCTTCCGGCAAATATTAAAATATTTTCTTTCCTACATGATTTTTATTTTAATATTTAAATTTTTTATTATTAACATATTATGTGTATATTCTACAATAGTATAGTAAGGAATTATTATAATACTGTAATTACATAATTTTAAAGGATTTTTTGGTAAAAATATGGCTTTATTATGAAAAAAATGGTTACAATGGTTGATCATTCAAAATATTATCCATCTAACCATTGCTTTTTACCGTCTTTCTAGTAATAGATGGATTCTTATTTATATTAATGCACACTCCCTATGTATAAACCTCCGTATAATATAGACCTCCGTATTTATCTTCCCAGTAAACAAGAATGGATTTAAATGAATTAAAATTTTTTTAATACGTACTTAAAATGAAAATGGATTATATGGATTGAAATGAATTGGATCTCAGCTGACACTAGTTTAATATTCGAAAAAAAAACATTTATATTTAAGGATTACAAATTTTATTCCTATGGGTGCGTTCGGGGAGACACTATTCGTGCTATGGACGCAAACGCTATCAACGCTGTTCTTGGAGCGAATAGCGCGATAGCGTTAACTCCATGAATGATCCTAGCGTTGGTAGCGTTTAACCAGAGAGATATATTCGTCGAGGTTAAGTTAATGTAGGGGATTCTGTATTCAATCACCAAACAAACTTTTCTCTATAATTAAAATTTTTAGATTTTGTAAAGTATTTGTAACGTAAATTTTTAATTTTCTCGTAATGAATAGCAGAACACAATCTCAATTACAATCTCTATGATAGCTTACCGCTAGACCGGAGTGAACAATGTAAACTAGATAAAAAAATTAATAGTTACATTAAATAAATTAAAGGAAAAGATAAAAGGAAAAAGAACTCTTGAACTCCATTGTCGATTTTAGAAGAAGAAGCATATCTACATCTAAACCCGATTCTACATTAGTTGCAAGCTGATCGCAAATTTGTTGCGACAGCCAATCTGAAACTTGCATTTTGAAATCAACGCTTCATATTGGCTGTCGCAATAAACTTGCAATCAACTTGCAACTAATGTAGAACCAGCTTAATAAGGATTTGTAGCGGAATATCTTGCTGCGTTATACCGCAATAGTAACTTTTTTCCGTACACGGACAATTAAAAATTGTCAGTAACAAGATACTTCTGACTTTCACATTTATAATAAAATCAAATACATAAGTTGAACTTCGTAGAAACTTTGAAAAGATGATACACAAGCAAGAATTACGTTCATTCCAGCCTAGTGGCAAGCCAACAGCAGAGATTAAAATTGAGATTGCATTCATTATGATAAAATTTGAAATTCATACATATGTTTACGTACATATGTTTACTCTACGAAATTCTAAGAGAGAAAAGTTTGGTGCCACTCGAGAACAGAAATTCTCCTTTCAAACATTAATCTAACTTTGTGACGAATGTGAAACGCTACCAACGCTAGGGTCGTTCATTGATTTATAAACGCTAACGTTATCAATACACTATCTTGAAAGTAATAGCGTTGATAGCAGTTGTGATATAAGACGCTACCATTAGTGATGTCATGATCATGTTTATTAGCGCTATCTGCAGCTGTGCGAGAGCGAATCAAAGCGAGAGCGATGACGTGAAATTTTAGAGTGATGCGGCGTTTGTCTAACTGTCTTTCTCGCTAGTTCAAATCCGGCTCGAAGGATCAGAAAATGTGCGAGAATGCACCGCGCGAAAAGATTCGAATGAGAGACCGGCACACGGCTGGTATGATACACGACAGTAAAGAGAACTCAGTTTCTTTGTAATTTAACAAAAGAATTTTCTTTAATATGCACAGTTACAAAGTCAGAAAATATAATTAATTAAATATTAAATTAACAGAATATTGAATGCGGTCACCGTTACCAAATTGTATTTGGAATCGCGGTGATGAAAAATCTCGACGATTTTCTCGGCACTTCTCGAAAAGATTCGTTTTATAGCGGTTTTCACTAAGCAGTTGACACGGCGATTTTACGAAGCGATATAGTAGCGAGACTATGACTCTAAGAACTTTTAGACTCTAAGAACTAAGGACTCTAAGCAGGAGGCCGGCGAGATCGAAGTATTTATTGCTTTCGGCCTGGGCTTTCTTCTTGGGAAAAAA